TATTATATATATTATATTGTAATGATTTATTATTTTCATCTATAGATTTTTTGTCATTTATATTATTCGTTACTTTGATATTTTTACTTGTTGAATTATTTTGTTGATAGGTGGTATAGTCGTCTTTATTTGTTTTTTTATTGAATAGGGAGTTGTAAGATAACAAGCGTAATTCATCATCGTCGTCATTAGAACTAATATAATTTTTATTACTATTATTATTATTGTTATGGCTGTTTTTTGTATCATTCATATGATTCTCTTCAGTTTTATCTTTATCTTTACTTTTCTTTTTCTTTTTTCTTTTATAAATTAGTTTGTTTACAAGCTGTTCGTTATACAAATTATTTAGGCACATATTAATTACATCAGGATTGAATATAATATCAGGAGATTTTTCTTTTATATGATGAAAATATGGAGATGATTTATTTTCATCATTATTATTATTATTATTATCATCATTTTTATTATTATCATCATTTTTATTATTATCATCATTATTATGATTTTTTATTTTTTTTTTTGGATCGTGTGTATTACTTTTATTAATATCAGTTTTTAACAAATCCACGTTCATGTTATTAATTGTTTGTACATTCTGTGTAATGATATCATTATTGTTATTATTCCCATCCTGTGTAATTACATTGGATTCTGGACATATTTGATTAGTTATATTACTTTTATGGTTTTTCTTTAATTTTATTTTTGTTGTATCAAGATATTTTTTAGTTTGTGCATAAATATGTGAATCATAAATAACATTATCAACAAATGTTAGAAAAGACAAAGATAGTATATTCAATAATTTATTATCAAGATCAATGGAAGAACTAGAATTGTTTTGATATTCATCTGTAATATTTTTAATATAATTATTAAGAATATTAATTTCTTCAGTTGGATTATTATTATTTATAATGGATGTTTCATTATTTATATTATCATTAATATTATTTTTTGAACTTAACATATTTTTATAAAAATTTATAGAAACATCTGAGTCTTCAATATTTTCACAAAGTTCTTCCATAGTATCTAATGATGTATTTTCATCACTTATGTCTAAAGATTTATCACTTGTATAAAATAAATCAATATTAATATGATCATTTGTTTTATCATTGTTATTTATTTCTTTCTCTTTATTTACAGATGATATATTATTAGATAACTTATTAATATTTTCTTGTATTATAGTATCATGATTTTCTTCCATGTCATTTTTTGAATTACTTACATTTATATTATTAGATAACATATCTTTTGTTTTTACATCATTATCAAGAAAATCAACATAATTTTCAATTGATAAATTGTTATATATGTTATTTCTATTACTATTTATATGTATATCATGATCTTCATTTTTCATAATATTTTCAGTACATTCATTTATGCGGTTTTTTTTTTCCATTATATTATCATAACTATTCAATATAAATTTATCATCGTTTAAAATGATCTCACTTTTGATATTATCCACATTATTCACATTATTCATATTATTCAAATTATTCATATTATTCATATTATTCACATTATTCATATTATTCATATTATTCACATTATTCATATTATTCATATTATTCACATTATTCATATTATTCATATTATCCATATTAGAAATATATAACTGATGGATATTTATATTTTTTATGTTTGTATTACTTTTTTCTTTTCCCTCATCTACTACAGATAGGTTTAATTTATGATTTGCATTTTTTATATTGTCATTATTATTTAGTATGTGTACATTTATTTCATCTTCTGCATTTGTTATGTAGTTATCATTCTTATTATGCTCATCTGTTTCATTATAATTATCATAATGATTATTATTATTATTACTTAAACTGTCATTATTTATATTATCATTATTTGGATTGTCATTATTTATATTATGATCACTGCTCTCAAATGAACTTTTATTGTTTGTTAATTTGTTTTCTTCATTTTTATTAAAAAAAAATCCATACATCTTATGATGGAATGTTAAATATTACATTTTGTTTATTTAAAAAAAAAGAAAAAAAAAAAAAAAAAAAAAAGCAATCCCAGGAGATATTAGAAGGATATAATTATTAAATTAATTTTAAATCCACAAAAAAAAAAAATATATATATATATATATAATATATAATATAAAAAATTTTAAATGTTATAAAATATTAAAAATATATACTGCTATATATTAATATTTGAATAAATTTTAAAATAAAATAAAAAAAAAAAAAAAAAAAAAATTTATGTACATATTATGTGAATATATACTTTATAATATTTATTTAATACGATAAAAACAAAGAAATGTACAGGATATAAATATATTTATATCTATATGTATAATATATATTAATTTTTTTTTTTTTTCCCATTAATTACACATAAAAATAAGTATTTATTTTATAAAATATCTAATTATATTTTATTTGAACAAAATTTTTGTATTTTAATGTAAGTATATATAATATTATGAATATAATATATATATTTATTTATTTATTTATGTTTATATATTTATCCATTTAAATCTTCTGTTTTTCTTTTCTTTTCTTTTCTTTTTTTTTCTTTTCTTTTCTTTTTTTTTTCTTTTTTTTTTTTTAAGATTATATATCGTGCGATGTTCAAAATTAAAGAAAAAAAAAAAAAAAAAGAAAAAGGAAAAAAAATTTTGCATATAATATAAAGTTGTAAATGTTAAATTCAAAACATATTTTCTTTTTGACCAAAAACTTTAGACTGCTCTTAAAAAAAAAAAAAGAAAATTAAAAAGTAAAACATCGAAAGATTGCTTAACTCAATATTATTGATATGTGATTGGTTGGTGGGTTGACATAATTTATATATAACATTTGTTTTATTATATTATATTATATTATATTATATTATATTATATTATATTATATTATATTATATTATATTATATTATTTTTATCTTTTTTACCCTTTAATAATAATATAAGATAGAGACAATAAAATGGAATAAGATAAAAACAAGGACAGAATAATATGTATGTATGATGTATGTATGAATGTATGTATGTATATACATACACATATATGGTTATTAATAAATATAGAATAATGTGTATTTTTTTTTTTTTTTTTTTTCTTTTTTAATTTAAAATTAACAATATATGATTATAATTTGTACTTTGATTTTTAAATTATGTATAACCTTTGTAGAAATTTGTATGAATAAAAAAAATAAGAATGTTTTGTTTTTTTCTTTTTTTTTTATAATTATTTAGGAAATTTTTAAAAATAAAATATTACTTTTTAATTTATTTATAAGTTTTTTTATATACTCTAAAAATATTGCTATTATGGAATATTTATACAAAATAAAATATTAAAGACAATAATCTTAAAAATATGAATTTATATAATTTGACATATTTAAAATATATTATATATTATATATATATATATATATATATATTATTTCATTTTTAGAGTAATATTATTTTTTATATATGATACAATTAAAGTTTTGTGTCCAAATATACCATTAATTATATTATATCAATATATACAAAAATAATATGTTTATAATATTTTAAAAAAAAATCTTTATTTTTTTTTTTTTTTTTCAAAATATATTATGAAAATAATAAATTTATAAAATGATATTATATTCCATTTTATATTTTTATTTTTTTTCTCAAATTTTAACATAAAATTAATAAAAAATGTAAAAAGATTATAATATATATATATATATGTATATAATCAACTACACTTTTATATGATATTTTGGAAACATATACATTTTTCTCTTATATAAATTAAAATAAATAATATATAAATATTATATCGTTTATTTGGAATTTATAAATTATTATATAAAAAAATAAATTTTATTAAAAAGAAAAACTTGTCGTGGTTAATGCATTTTTATATATTTTTAAGAATGTATAAAATTATATAATCATTTTATTATATATATATATATATATATATATATATATATATATACATATAATATTCATTTTTATTTTTATAGATAATATAATGATATAAAGAGTTTATATAATATATATAGAAAAATTATGATATATTTTACAAATTATACTCTATAATAATAAAGTGAGGAATATTGTATTTGAAGCGGGCATGGTCTAGTGGCTATGACGCCTGCCTAACACGCAGGAGATCCCGAGTTCGATCCTCGGTGCCCGTATATTTGAATATATTTATATTATAATATAAATAAATAAAAAAAAATATTATAGAAAATTATCAATAAAAAAATATAAATAATATTTATATTAATATATATAATTTATTTAATTTTATAAATAATATTATAAAATAATAATATAATATTATATAACAATAATAATATATTGTATATTATATATATATATATAAATATAATAATATTATGTATATAACTTCATATTGATTATTACATAATACAGTAAATTTAGTATAAAAAAAAAGAAATGCTAATTTTAATTGTTAAATAAATTATTCTCCCTCTATTCCAAAATTTTGTTCATCAAAAATATATAAAAGAAAAAAAATAAAATAAATAATTAATTTTGTTATGCTCATTAAATAAAAAAATCCTTTTAATAATAATTAAACATGTATTATATATATATTTATATATATATATATATATATACACCTTAAATTATAATATATATATATATTATATGTACATAATTATATATATCGTTTTTTTTTTTTTTATTTTTTTTTTATATACATTTTTGAAGCTCTTCAATTGTATAACAATAAAATTATTAAGGAAAAACAGGCAAGTAATTATATTATATATATATATATATATATATATATATATATGTATGTATAACCATAAATTTTTTATAGAAATATTTTATACAGAAGACTTATAATATGGGATATAAACTGAGATGAATAAAAATAAATTTTTTTTTTTTTTTTTAAAAAAAAATATATTCAAATATTGTTCATTAATTTATAAAAATATTATTTCTTATTAATAAAATATAATTTTTTTTTTTTTATTTTAAAATTAATTTATTTTTATATATAAAAGGTCTCGCCGGGACTCGAACCCGGGTTGGAGGATTCAAAGTCCTCAGTGCTAACCACTACACTACGAAACCTTATGCACATATTTTTAAAAGCTTTATTATTAATAAGAAATTTGAATACGTAAAGAAAAAGAAAATATATCATTTAAATATTCGAATAAGAATAATATAAACTATATTTTATACATCTATATTATTATATATATATATATAATAGTATATTTTATTTATTTTTGTTTTAGTAAGAAAAAAATTCCAAATAATTATTAAAATTAAAAATAAATAATAAACTTATAAAAACATATTATTTCCGAAACTAAATAATATTCATATGAAAAAAAGAATTCAATTACATATATAAATTATCAAGAAAAAAATTCATAATTTTTTGTTTTTATAATAGTTGTGTTTTTATAAAAATAAAATATACATAAAGAAATTATTATGTATATATAAAATAATTATATATATGTATTTATTCATTTTATATATATCTTTTTTTTTTTTATTATAAACAAGTGTAAAGTTTACAAAAAAAAAGGAAAAGGAAGAAAACAGAAACTTTAAAGAATATGAAAAAAATATAATATATATATATATAAGGAAATGCTATATATTTACATATATATGTGGGATATTTTTTTTTTATTTTGAAAGAAATATCTCAGAAATGTACAAAAAAAAAAAAAAAAAAAAATTAAATTATACAAATAAAAGTAAAAAAATAAGATAATATACATAAGTATATACATATATATATATATATATATATATATATTTTATGTTTCCATGTTTATGGAATATATATTTCCTTCTTTCTTCTGAAAATACCGAAGAAACCAAATTTGTGCATAAAAACTCTGTGAGATCGTTGTATACTATGTTTAACACTTAAGATCATGTGGCATATATTAATATATATATGTCTTAAATTGAATAGGGTTATCATTGATCTCCATTTTTCTATTTTATGTCCAAATTCATGGAATCCATATGCAAATTCTTCTAATGTCAATACTGGTTGATCTAATGATGGTTTTTCTAGAGGTATGAGGTCTTTTGGTTGATGATTTTTAACTGGTGTAATAAAATAGTTATCATATGCTCTTCTAAATATTTTGTTTAATAATTCCTTATTATCAAATATGTTATCATTATATGAATTCATAGCATCGTGATCATGTGTATAACGATAGACAATGTTATTATATTGTTCAGTTAAGAATCCTTTGAATAAAAGATCAAAGCATTTAATATTTTTACATTTAAATGTTTCAACAAACATATTATATAATTTTTCTACACCATCATCATCTAATAAATTAGCAAATTCTTGGAAATTATTAAATATTTTGATAACTTTGGATTTTTGTAGATTTTCTCTTTTTAATTTCTTAATAATATTTTTGAAGTAGAAATAATATCCTTGGTTAACAACATCAAGTATATATTTAAGTTCTTTTTTGGTTAATCTCTTTAATGGTGGATATATAATATATTGATTAAATAACTGGAATTCCACAATTTTATATAAAGATATAATATTTGTTTTTGGTCCAACATATCCGTTTTCACTATCAGATTTTAATTTTTGTACGGTTTCATTCATGTCAAGTATCATTTTATGTATAAAAGGATTTACATTTTTAATCATTTTAAGTGAGTGTTTTTTTTTCATGGATTCGATACCTTTTTTTAATATTGTATCTGGACTAACCATGGAAAATTTATTTAATGATATTAATGCATGTACAACTTTTACAACTAGATGGAAATTTCTGAAGATATCTTTTTTAGGTACATACATATTATATGGTCTATTGAAATGTCCATAGTGTTCTTTATAAGCTTCTTTATTTTTTTCTTTTATCATATTTGAATTAAATGGCATAGGATTATTTTCTCTTCTTTCAAGGAAACTCGTTTCTTCTGTATTATTATTTAATATTTTGTTTTCCTCATCCTTTTTATTTTCTTCATACATATTACTGTTATCATCATTGTTAACAATTTCTTGAGTATTTTCAGAACTTTCTATATGAACATCATTTTGGTCATATTTTTCATTAACTTTAGATATTTGTATAAATGATGGAGAGGGCATTTTTGTTCCTTTGTTTTCTGTATTTTCATCTGATGGTTTAGTTATATATTCAGATGTGTATTCATTATTTGATGAGTGTGTTGTATTTTTAGATACACCATTTTGTCTATTAATTTCATCTTGTGCTATATTCATATTATATTTCATTGCTGGTGTTTCTCTTTTGTTTAGATGATTTGAATTGTTTGATGTTTTTTCAGCGTCAGTTTCTGAATCATCGGTATCGGTAGAAAGTGTATCAGCTGTTGTACTTTGATCATCATCTGATTTATCTTTAAAATCAAATATATCTTCAGATAATATACTTTCAATAATTTTAATATCATTTTCTTGTTCTTCGCTTTCTTGTTCTTCAGGAGATTTATGTACTAAATCATCTTCTTTAATTAAACCTGTTTTACTACTAATGGTTACATTTGGTTTGCCTGGATTGAGAACTAGCCAATAATATAAATTGAATGGATATTGAATAAATGAACATTTAACTTTTTGGAAATATTCACTAATTAATGATTTTCCTACTAATTCGAATTGATCTAAAACATTGTCTTTATAAAGTGGTGGTGTAGTTGATCTATTATTATAAGTTACATGCATACCATCATTTACACGTCTAACTGAAAATCCTTGATATGGAATAGAAGGTATATTAGTATCAAGTAAGAATTTTTCTAAATATAAATAATTTTGAATAGATTCACTTAAATCATTTATTTCATTAAATGTCATATTTTTAGTTAATGAAAGACCACCATTAAGGAAAGCATTTGATCCATGTGCTTTATGATCATCATTTTTCTTTTTATTCAGATTATAATATACATTCAAATTTCTGACATCTAAATTTTCATAAAACAATCCCATATATAAGTAATCTTTATAGAATGATGATACATTTTGTAAGTTTTCTATATCTTGATATGATTTTAATTTATCTAAATCATTTAAAAAGAATCTATATGTTTTAACACTATCTATAGAATAACATTGTGTTTGGAAATTATATGGATCAATTGGATATTTTTCTATATCGAATTTTTCTTTAATCTTAACCATAAATTTTTTGAAATTTTCAAATTCAATAATTGAATTTAATATAAATTCTAGATAATTTCTATTACATAAATAAATAGAAGAATTATTTATTGAATAAGTTAAATCACCAGTTACTGCATAAAATTTTACAAAGTAATATAAGTTTCTTAAGAATAAGAAATTAGTAAATTTCATATCTGTTAAAAGTTTAATGAAACCTGTTAATTGTTTTAAATATTGTTCAATATTAGGATTAAACTTTATATCATTTAATATATATTCATTCTTATTATATGCATGTCTATCAAAATCTTTATCATCTTTTTTAACATGATGTACATCAACATTATATTTCTTTTTAAGGATTAATTCAATAAATTTAAATATTCTTAATAATAATTTTTCATTGTTTGCTGTTGTTTGTGGGGCCAAATTGAAATTGTTCACAACACTTCTAACAGATTGTTTACTTGTTGTATATCTTAAAAGAGAATATTTAAATTTATAAAATACATTTGAAAATGTTAATACATCTTCAAATTTAATATAACAATATGGATAAAATTCATTAATTGATTCAGCATATTCCATAATTTCAAAGAATCTGGTATATCTTAATATATTTAAGAATCTACCTCCTTGAACTCTTTTACCTAAGCCTAATAACATTTTTTTTTTTGCACTTCCATAAAATCTTCTTACTTTGCTTATTTTTAAGAATAAATATTTAAATGGTGTATCATAATATCTTTTTCTTTCATCTAATTGTTTTTGTAATGTTAAATAAGTTGTCCAAGAATATCGATTAGTTCTTTTTTCAATTCTTAATAATGCAACAATAATAAGAAGATGTTTCAATGCATCATTTGAATTTTCATATTTATATATTTCATCGAATGTGATATGTTCTTTTTTCAAAAACATATGTGTACCACAAAGTATATTGATTAAATCTTTTAATTTTATGGATGCAAATCTAGTTTTCTCTGGTTGTATTAGATTAATATTTTTTAAATATCTACTTAAAACAGATTTTCCTGTAATTTTACTAATAACACCTTCTAGACCATGAAGATTATTTTCAATAAAGGGTTCATAATTATAATATAATAAGAAATAACATTGATGTGGTAAATGTGGGAACATTTCATGATTTGGTATTTCCTTATATTTATATGTTAAATATTGTATGATTTTTTCTCTTTCTTGTGGTTTTGCTTGTAATTCTAATTGTAAGTATTTTGTATTCCTTACAACTTCATCTTCCATTGTTAATTGTATATCATTAAATTTAATTCTGTTTTCAACTTTTTTTTTTAATTCAGCATTTTCTACTTCGTCTTTACCTTCACCTTGACTAGCTTCTTGCGCTTTTTCATGTTCACTTTTCACAATTGCATTGTATTTTTTTCTTCTAATATTTAGAGTATATTCTTCATAATGGTGTGAATATTTGTCCACATGGTAATATGATTCAATTAATTTCTGTTGATATAATTTATAAGTTTCTTTTAGTGGAATATCGAATTTCTCAATATTCTTATAAAGAGCATATAAGGTAGACATAACTAAAATGATTATGGCTTCTTCTGCGTTAAAGAAATTAATTTTATTTAAAGAATTTTCTAAGAAGGTTCTAAACATTCTTCCGAATGAGCCTTTACTAAATTGAAATCTGTATTTTCTTATGTTTTTCAAGAAGTAATTTTGACTTTTTTCTTTTCCGTAAACACTCTTATCCATGAAAATTTTGTGAACTTCGTAAAATTCGGTTGGAGCCATATTACTCAAAGCTCTTTTCCACGAGCTACCTTGATGGAAGATTTGTTTCACAGCACCGATGAAAGAAGAGAACTATGATAAAAAAATAAAAATAAATATATAAATAAATAAATAT